GTTCTAGGACAGCTAGGGCTACACAGAGAGATATTATGGGGGGGGGGGTTGAGAGACAGAGAACAAGAATTACTTCAGTACTACAATGACCCACAGCCAGGAGTCTGGGTGAGAAAAGTACCCTAGCCCTGTCCTCTCAGAGTTAGTCATGCTCCTGAGACACTCAGGAGGATAGCTTTCTGAGACTCAGGAATAACGAAGTCTCATGCATCTCATGTGGTGTGTGGCTTGTCTCTCTACAACTAACTCTCCCATATCATCAGCATAGTTCCTACTGGTTCTAGAAGGGATATAAGGGGACAGGAGAAGAAATGGTAAGAGATCATGATTCTAGATATGCCCTGTAAAACCAGTCAAGGCGTGAAAATCCATTTCATCTGCTTCCTACCAGGGTAGAGGAGGTAGCCTGAAAAATTCAGAATTATACCTTACCAGTAACTACTTAGCCCAGTGCTGAGTTTCTGAAGGAGATGTGGGTGGAAGGGGCCTTCCATCCTCATCACTGGCATCTTACCTTGCTCCTGGAAGGCCTGTGTGCTGTCTCCAGGGCCCTGGCTCAGCTGTCCTGCAGTGCTTGGGCCAAGGCTTTGAACTCCTTCCCCCTGAAGTAGCCCCCACTCAGGCTTGACTTCTACAGGTCCCAAATGGATGCCTGATTGCCAAGATCCTCCGCCAAGGGCTGCGGTGACCAGTGGCTCTCCCTGGGCATGGCACGGAACCTAAGAAGAATCCCCATAGCAATTAGAATGAGACCTGCAGGAGGCTGTTAAAGAGAGCTGGATTAAAACTGAAAAAGCAAGGCTGGGGTGCCACTTGGTTGGTAGAGTGCTTGTCTCACATGCATAAAGCCTGGAAGCCCCAGGTTCCATTCCCAGCACTACATAAACCCTGGTATGGTGGTCCAAGCCTATGATCCTAGCACTCAGTAGAGAGAGGAGGGTCTCTCTCTCTCTAGGTTCAAAGCCAGCCTCATCTAATTAGTGACTTGCAGGCCAACCAGAGATATATAGTAGACCCTGTTTAAAAAAGAAAAAAATAGAAAGAGAGGGAAAGGAAAGGAGGGGGGAGGGTAAAGGAAAGAGAAGCTGCTGACTTGTTCCACATGAATGCTAAACTCTCCAAAAGTGAACTAGCAAATGAGAAACAGCTGCTGTACACAAAGTGGAACTCTGCAGTGACATTCTCATAGATACGAGGCCCTGCCTATTCCCTTTTCTTCTAGTTTTTAACACTGATAATTAATTTGACAGGATCTATAGTCACCCATGAGACAAACCTCTAGGCACACCTGTGAGGGTGTGTCTAGATTTGGTGAGTTGCGGCGGGAAGTCACACCCCAAATGCAGATGGCACTATCCCATGAGCTGAGGTCCTACAGTCAATCAAAGGAGAGTGAGGGCTGGAGAGACAGCTTGGCAGCTAAGAGCACATACTGCCAATCCCTAAAGAGTATCTTTTAATACATTCCGCTCTGCTCTTTTTAAAACTGCTTTTCTGTAACAAAGTGAAGCCACTAGTCTGGTTTTGCCTGAACAGAGGTTCTGAAAGGCGAATAAGGAATCCCAGGGTGACAGAGTGGGGTTGTGCCTAAATCCCAGGTGCCACTGGCAGAAGTATCGACATTAGCCTCTTCCCCGAGGGCACAAAGAACTCACAGTGGACCCAGAACAATCAAAACTGCTCTCATTGGATTTGAGGCTCACCAGTGGGTCTCTGACTGCCAAAACCGTGGAATCTGGCCCTCCTGCCCGCAGATATCTTCCCTAGAGATGGCTCTTAAAAAAACCTTCCTTGTGTATATGATGTGTATTTGTGAACATGTACGTGAGGATGGGCATGTGTGGAGACCAGAGGACAATTTCCAGTGTTTGTCCCCACCTTCCAATTATGATAGGGACTCTTGCTGACCCCTGTTGAGGATGCCTGGCTTCCTGGACTGCAAACTGCTGGGGCTTCTCCTCTCTCTGCCTTGCATCTCACCACTGGGAATACACATGCACACTACCTCATGTGGCTTTCCCGTAGGTCTTGGAGATCCGGGTCCTCACTGAGCCATCTCCTCAACCCGATTCCTCTTGCTAAAATTGCAGCCATTTCCCAGAAAGCTCCTTTGGGGGCTGGCAGAGCAGGTTCTGTCTGATCCACTCCCACCACTTAATCTTTCCAGTTTTGATTCCCACACAAACCGCGCAAGGCCCGGACACCCTCTTCTCACCCACCGCCTTGGCCTCCGGTGTGCTCTCCATCAGGTCCTCCACCATGGCCGCCAGAGCCTTGCCGCTGTCTGGGCTGTGTTCCCGGATCCAGGTGTAGAACTCTCGGGGCAGGATGGTGAGGAACTGCTCCAGCACCAGCAGCTCCAGGATCTGCTCCTTGGTGTGCAGCTCTGGCCTCAGCCAACGCCGACACAGCTCTTGGAGTTCCCTGAGGGCTTCCTGGGGACCTGCGGCCTCTTGGTAGCGGAACTGGCGAAACCTCAGCCGGAATGCCTCAGGACTTGAGTCCTCCCCTGCCCGGCCCCACGGCAGCTCCTTCTCCAGCTTCACCACCGGAGCACCCATCTGCTGCTGAAGATCTGCCATCTCCAGACGCTCTTTCAGCATCTTCAAGCTCCAACAAGACTGAGGGTGACAATAGAAAGGGCCCTTCTGAGAACAGAGGACACCTAGGAGGTCAGCCCACCAGCTCTGTGTCTATACCCGTGACTATTCTCAGGAAGCTGACACACCCTCAAAACCTTATCAACTGACCTGATCTTAGGTTAGTCAGGGTAGAGACAACGAAGCAAAGAAAATCAAGACAAATTCTGTGGTCAAAACCAACACATTCACTCGTGGGTTGACTGTGATGGTGTGCTCAGTCTAGACAAGGCCTCACAGGCTATTGCCACTGCTCTTGATTGCCATGTAACTAGATCGTAAGGCCCCACTGCTGAAGACACAATACATTTTGGTTGCAGGATTCAGAAATCAAGCTGGAACTGACCTGGGAATTTCCTATTAGCTAGTTTTCATAGTGCTGGAAGGTGCTATAGGCCACTGCAGAAGAAGAGGCACTGCTGGTATTACCTAGCAGTGAAGCCTGCACGCTACAATAACGAATAATGTGCCAGATAAGGTATGTCCAGTGGTGTAACAGTGGCACCAAGGTAACCAACTGCTTTCTCACTGGATTTGTGGCTTGCTCCACAGGAAGACATTCATGCCTGGTACTGTAAACCTGGCCAAAACCCACAGCCAAGGAGATTATGGACCTAAGGAAGAACTTACTGCTGTGGTTTTGCTAAAATAGACATGGCATCAAACCACCTGCTAAATATTTATGTTTATACCCACAGATTAGTAGTCAGGGAAGCTTCTTTCTGCTTACGGTTATTGCAGAGACTTTTAAATGGTCAAAGGGCTGAGAAGAAGTGACTGTTGAGTGTTCATCCCTAAATGGGACATCTGTGTCAACACCCCCACACAGCTCGGGCTCAGGGAACACAGTGGAAGAGGGGACAGAAAGAATGTAAGAGCCAGAAGATGGATGGGAAAGAGCGCTGTGAAATACTGTCTTCTGGACACAACATGGCCACTCCCATTATGAACCTGCTGCAGCCATGGTCACTTGCGTAAGACCTGCACAGGACTAAGCCAGCAAAATCAGTCAGCATCCCAACAAAAAAGGAGAGGACAGAAAATGGGAGTTTGGGTGCCCTTGGGGGGGGGGAAGGTAGGGTAAATACAGTCAAGATAGGGTGTATGCACGTACAAAAATGTCCAGATAATAAAAGCTGAGACACAGACAGGATATGCAAGAAACATATACAGCTGTCTCACTCCCCAAATATGGAAGGTTTAAAAAGAAGAAAGATGGGGCTGGAGAGACAGCTCGGTGATTAAGAGCACCCGCTGCTCATGCAGAGGACACAGATTCAGTTTCTAGCACACAGATGGTGGCTCACAACTGTCTGTAACTCCAGTTCTAGAAGGTCTGTTGTGTCTTCTGGACACTGTGGACACCAGGCATGCATGCAGTACACAGACAAATATGCAGGGGGGAAAACCCACCCATACACATAAAATAAAACATATTTTAAAAAAGAAAGAACGGGTAGGTGTAGTGGCACACATCTTTAATCTCAGCATCGGGATGAAGGGGTAATGTGAGTTCGAGGCCAGCCTGGTCTACAGCGTGAGTTCCAGGACAGCCTCCAAAACAATACAGAGAAACCCTATCTCGAAAAAAGAAAGATTAACAGCCATGGCAGGAGTTGCCTGTAATCCCGGAACCTGGCTTAGGCTGGAAGGCGGTGAGGTGCAGGTCAATCTGGCTGGACGAAAGGGAGATGAGAAACGGAGGGAGAGAGGAGGCAAGGGAAAGGGAGGGAGAAAATAACAGGAGGGAAGGGAACATTACACCTGAGGAAAAAGAGGCTGCGAAGCAGCTCGTAAAATGAGTCTTGTTTACTTCCCGGCGGGCAGGTTGGAGAAACAGGCCCCAAGCCCAAAGCGCTAAGGCGCTCGGATTGTGGGCGCAACTAGCGTGCGAGAGGCCACGACCTTCGGCTACAGATCCTATGGGATGTTTGTGTTTTTCTCTACCCTCCCCTTAAACCGACTCCAGCACTCGACTCTCTGCTGCATCGAGCTTTCCCGAACGTCCTAGCTATGGCCTAGCTCGTTCCGCCGGGGACCTGGGGGCAAGCGGCCGTCTGGCAGCCAGAAGGTGCCGCGTGGTTATTCTTCCAGAGACTGTCCGGCATCTGCGTCTAAAACGCTGCGTGTTGGGGCTTCTCAGAGTCGCGGGGTCAAGGTCTTCCCGCCGATCGTGGACACCCGGCGTTAGGCCCCCCGCCTGGCCCGGCCGCGTGGATCTTACCTGAGACCACGGCTGTGCGTGGAGAGGCGACCTCCGGGCCGCTGCCAAGCTGCCAAGCTGCAGCCTGCTCCGTCCCGACCCGCCCAGACCCGGCCGCGGCCTTGACGGACTGCGCGCTCGGCACCTGCCCCGGCCTGCGCGGACCGGAAGTGGGTGGCGGATGCTGTCAGGCAGGTGCCCTACCGAAAGGGCCCGTGTCCGGTTCCTCTCTAGGACTCTCGGAGGTCTCAGAAGGAGTTGTATCTCTATGGTCTGTCATGGTCAGTGCCGGCTCTCCATCTTTCTCCTGCCTCTACATGCGCTTCCATTTATTTTTTAAAAAATGAATCTCTACTAAAAAGGAGCTTCTCTGCACTAGGCTGAGAGATGCATTAGTCTATGGGTATAAACATAAATATTTTAATATTCTATATGTATTTATTTAGTGTGTGTCAGGACAACCTGAGGAGTCACTTCTCGCCTTCCACCATGTAGGTCCCACTGAGTCAGCTCAGGGGCCCTGAACATAAATATTTAGAAGGCAATTTGACAATATGTTGCTTAAGGAAATATGATGGTTAGTTTTAACTGTCACTTTACAATCTAGGATCACCTAGGAGGAGGCTCAGTGAGGGGTTAGACAATCCCTCCCTGTCAGGTTGGCCTGTGGTAGTGATGCGGGGAAGAGTCAGCCAACTGTGGGTAGCACCATTCCCTGGGTTTGGGTTTTGGACTGTGAAAGAATGAGAAAGGGAGCTGAGTGGTAAGCATACATACATTAGTTCATTTCTCCCTGCTCTTGTCTGTGTGTGTGATGTGAGCAGCTACTTCAAGTTACTGCTGCCCCGACTTCCCTACAATGAGGACTGCAACCTGGAATTGTGAATTAAAATAAACACAATCCCTTCAAAGTTGTTTTTGCTTGACAAGGTCTCTCTATGTAGACTTGACTGTTCAGGGACTTGCTATGTAGAACTGGCTGGCCTCAAACTCACAGAGATCTGCCTGCCTCTGTCTCTCTGTGCTAGGATTAAATACTACCATGCCTGGCTGTATGTTTGATTTTTTTTTGAGACAGGTTTTCTCTGTGTAACAGTCCTGGCTGTCCTGGAACTCTATGAACTAGGTTGGACTCAGACTCATAGAGATCCACCAGCCTCTGCCTCCCTAGGGCTGGGATTTAAGGCATGTACCACCACTACGTAGCTTAGTATTTTAAAATAACTAATATAACATAATTACTCTAAAAGACATGTATACTGGATTCTCTGGGAGAACAAAGATACATCTTGTGATAAAAGGGTTGTTTTAGAGCAAGTGACATTTCAGTTGGGATTAGACACAAGGGATTTTCCCTTTCAGGAAAAGACAGAGAAGGGTATTGGAACCAGGAACTGGTGCTCAGACCAGATGTGGTGGTACACATCTTTAATATTAGCGATCAGGAGGCAGAGGCAGGCAGATCTCTGTGATCTCAGTTCAAGGCCAACCTGGTCTACATAGTTTCAGGATAGCTAGAACTACATAGTGAGACCCTGTCTCAAAAATTAAGTAAATAAGCTGGACGTTGGTGGCGCACGCCTTTAATCCCAGCACTTGGGAGGCAGAGGCAGGCAGATCTCTGTGAGTTCAAGGCTAGGCTGGACCGACAGCCTCTGAAATAAAACAGAGAAACCCTGTCTCATAAAACCAAAAAAAAATTAAGTAAATAAGTAAACAAGAAATAAATAATAAAATGAAAAGAGACCAGTGCTTGAAAAGGCATCAATATGTGAAGGAGATGGTATGTTAGAAGAATTGCTGGTATAATTCGTGTGCTCCAAACTCATCAACGGAGGAGAGAAGCCTGAGCGTGGCAGTGTATGCTTGTAATATCAATAAACTCAGGCTGCCCTGAGTTATATAGTGAAATCAGATCCAGTCTGGACTGTATAGTGGGTTTAAGGCCAGTTTGAGTTACATAGAATGAGGAGAGGAAGAGAGACAGATGAGAGGGGGGAGGGAGGTAGGGGGGGAGAGAGGGAGAGGGATAGGGAGAGGGAGAAGGAGAGGAAGAGAACCCACTCACTCAGGAGGCCTATGACTTCAGGATGGGATGAGACCATGCTGACATACTGGTAGCTGACCTCACTGTCTCTCCAGAGGCACAGACTGACTGCAGGGCACAGACTTCCAGTGTCACAGCTGAATCAAAGCTCAGTCTTGGAGAAGGTCCCCTCTAATCATACCCAACCCTTCTCCCAAACTCATAAGAAATGTTTCTGGTACAAAGTCACCCTTTCATCCAGGAATGTAACTTTTGAGGTTTTGTTTTGTTTGTTGGTTTGGTTTAGTTTTTGTGAGACAGGGTTTTTCTGCATAGTTCTGGTTCTCCTGGAACTGGATTTGTAGACAAGGCTGGCCTTGAACTCAGCGGTCTGCCCGCCTCTGCCTTCCAAGTACTGGAATGGAAGGAATGTGCCACCACCACCCAGCTTGGAACATAACTCTTTAGTGACACTAATTCACACAACTATTATGATTCTATTCTTTTGGAAAATTCTGCTTCCTTTGATTATGTAATACATTCTCTCCTGCTTGCCTCTGGGTTTGGATTTTGAAGAACAATTCAATAGAGTGGCTCTCCTATTTTTAAAAGAAACATCTGCAAAAATAAAAAAGAACAAAAGATAAAAAGAAAGGCCTTGAGCAGCCAGTAGTTCAAAGAGGTCTGATCTTATTCCAGGAGCAACCAAGGCACAACCACTGCCAGTATGGAGGGGTAGAGGGTTAGCCCGACTTTCTGAAGCCCCTCCAAGGCAGCAAAGACTGTCAAGGTGGGGTATGCTTAGGCACTCACACAGACCAGGACAGAGCTCAGGTCTCCTGTCTGGATGACTGTTTCTCCCTTGAGTAATGTCTCCTGCACCAAACCCAGCTCTCCGCTCAGACTGTCCAGGTTCTCTCAGTAAAAGATCCCCTTGTACCTCTCAGTACTCTTGGGAGTGGTCAAGGAATGGAAGCAAAGGCAGACTGTGTCTTCAGAGAGCCAGATGCTACTCGGGTTATAGCAAAATCTTGGGTCAGATGAGATAGAGAGTGCTGGTTTCTGTGCCTCCCTGAGAGGGGACTTCTCCTTCTTGTACAAACCCCTGTATCTTTGGACTCACCCTCCATGCTGTCCCCTACGACAGAGAATACATTAGAGCTAAGATAAGAGACTGGAGAGATGGCTCGATGGTTACCAATCCTTGCTATTCTTTCAGAGGACATGGATTTAATTCCAATCACCTATGTATGATGTTTCACAACCATCTTTAACTCCAGACCCAGGGGATCTGGTGCCATCTTCTGGCCTCTTCAAGCACCTACATGTATGCATGTGCACATTGACAGACAGGGAAGGAGGGGGAGAAGGAAAGAGAGGGAGAGAGAGACTGATTGGGACTCAAACATATATACACAATCTTTTTTAAAAATGGGTCCATTTTCATGCCTGGTACTCATGGAGGCCAGAAGTTGGCATCAGATTCTCTGGTATTAGAGTGACATATGGCTGTGAGCTGCCAAGTGGGGAGCTGGGAATTGAACTTGGGTACTCTGGAAGAGCAACTAGTGCTCTTAGCTACTGAATCCTCTCTCAAATCCCATAACAAAAATCTTTAAAGTTGAGGCAAATGATAACTTCTTATTCAGTGTTATAGAAGATCACTGAAAACACCAAAACTTCATTGCCAGGTGGATGACAATGTTAACAAAGTTCGAGGATTCAAGTTTGGATCTCCAGCACCCATGATACAGGCAACTCACCCACAGTCCAGCAAACAGGAGACAGAGACAGGATCCCCACAAGCAAGCTGGCTAGCTAGACTGGTCAAATCAGCAAGCTCTGGATTCAAATGGCAGGCCCTACCTTAATATTTAAGGTGGAGAGAAATCAAGGAAGACATTTGTCATCAACATTTGGCCTCCACGCATACATCTGTATTTCACGCAATACACACACACACACACACACACACACACACACACGCACGCACGCACGCACGCACGCACGCACGCACGCACGCACGCACACCATCAGCAGCAACAGCAGCAGCAGCAAAAATTCAAAAGATAAGGGCTAAAGTCCAGGATACTTACCAGTCACTAGGAACAGAAGAACACCAAAGCACTATATATAGAAGGCCACTGCATAGAGACTTGCATGGGGCCGGGCTTTATCCTCAGACTCTGAATTTCAAGGGAATGAAGCAACAAGGTCATGAAGGTACAGATCCCTGTGAGGACCCAAGGAAGCACCAGTCTCTTCCCAGGCTTCTGGCTTACCTTAGCCCATGTGACTCCTTAACTCCTTCTTTATCCCTTGCCCCCTCCAGAACAATAGTCCCACCACATGCCTCTCTCTTCCTCCCCAGTTCACCAAAAAGCTGTGTGCCTCATCTCCCAGGGACTCATCAGGGATTGCTGTGCAAGTACTCTCTGTGTGGGTACCAACATCATGGTGGGCCCTCTCTGTGTGAACTTGGGAGAAAACTCAACCTCATTTTCCTACTGTAAGGGTTCTGCCTCCTCTGTTGGCACAGGAGCATCCCAGGGAAAGGCCTTTCTCAGTCTTTTAAAATGTAAAAAGGCCCTAAGGGACAGGAGTAACCTCTCATTCACTCTTTTTTAAAACTTTTTTTCAAGTATTGCTTTATGCCATATTCTTTGACAGCCACTGGAGCAGACAGGTGACCCCAAACCAAGAAGACTGTGAAATGTTCTCTTGAAAAGCCCAAAGAAAAGGCAAAATAAGTTTGGAAATCCTGGGGCCCGGCAGATAACCCAATGCCATAAGTACCTTGACACCAAGCCTGATTCCCAGGACCCACATGATGGAAGGAAAAAACAACTCCCAAAAGTTGGCCTCTGACCTCTGTAGTGCTGTGGCATTTGCATGCCCACCTACATATGAAAGTGCACAGACACATACTAATAAATTAAAATGCAATAAAAATTAAGAGCCAAGAATGGTGGCTCAGCACTCAGGAGGCAGAGGCAAGCAAATCTCTGTAAGTTCAGGGCCAGCCTGGTCTATATAGCAAACTCCAGACCAGCTATAATTACATAGTGAAACCCTGTCTCAAAGTGAAAAAATAGATAAATTCAGAGATGGTAAGTAGAGGATAGGTTGGTTACTTCAGAGAGAAAGCAAATTGGGCAACATTCCTAATGCTTCTGCTCACACCACCATCTGCCCTCCAAACCCCTCCCAGGGCCCAGCTGAGGATGAGGACCGCTTGGATCCATGAGGAAACTGATGATGGCTGATATCACTTTGGACTTCCTGGTCTTTGGGAAGAGCTCAGATGCGAAGACACCATGAAGAAGGTACTGAAGAAAGCCAAGATGACTGCAGAGAGCAGGAAGACACGACCCAGATTGGTATGAATTGCAGAGGGAGGGCGAAAGAGCCAGGGCTGCAGCTGAAGACCCTGCCTGCCATAGAGCAGAGCCCTCCGGAGTCTGTCCCACATGACCCCAGGGGCTCCAGCTGCATCTGCTGGTCCCAAAATGTGGCGTTGGCCCTGCCACTCCCCCAAGAATCCTTTGCCCTTGTTTTGTTCCCGACATGGAAGGTTATAAAAAATAATTGAAATTAAGAACGTTGGCCACTGAAATCATTCATGAGTTGCCTTTTCCTTTGAGATAGGGCCTCGTGTATTCTAGCTGCCATCAAACCCACTATGTAGCTGAGGATGACCTTGAACTTCTGGTCTTCCTGCCTGTACTTCCTCAGTGCTGGGATGATAGGCATGCCCTACACTCTGCCATATGTGGTGCTGGATATTGAACCCAGGCCCTCTGCACGCTAAACAAGACTGTGTTGACTGGGCTACATCTCCAGCCCCCTCTCATCACTTCTTAACTTATTACTGTGGGAGTCTGGTTGTATTAAATCTTGTGGGAAAATTTTAGACTTGGAGGGCCGGCATAGCGGCTCACACCTATAAATCCCACTCAGGAGGCCGAGGCAGGCAGATCTCTCCGAGTTCAAGGCTAGACTGGTCTGTGTAATAAGTTCCAGGCTAGCCAGGAATACATAGTGAGACTGTTGTCATAAAGAAAACTATGTGAAAACTTGTGATTAAAGGTGCCTGCCCCAGGCCTGACAACTTGCGTGGGTGGAAAGAAGGCCGGGGTGATACTACTGATCCTTTAAGAAGCAAGGGAACCCCCCAACACACATCAAAGATTATTCATCCCTGCTGGCTGTGGTGGCTCCCCACAAGCCAGTTCATATTGGAAGCACAATAAGAAGAGGTGGTGTGGATGGACCATAATCAATGGAAGCACAATAAGAAGAGGTGGTGTGGATGCACCATAATCAATGGAAGCACAATAAGAAGAGGTGGTGTGGATGCACCATAATCAATGGAAGCACAATAAGAAGAGGTGGTGTGGATGGACCATAATCAATGGAAGCACAATAAGAAGAGGTGGTGTGGATGGACCATAATCAATGGAAGCACAATAAGAAGAGGTGGTGTGGATGCACCATAATCAATGGAAGCACAATAAGAAGAGGTGGTGTGGATGGACCATAATCAATGGAAGCACAATAAGAAGAGGTGGTGTGGATGCACCATAATCAATGGAAGCACAATAAGAAGAGGTGGTGTGGATGCACCATAATCAATGGAAGCACAATAAGAAGAGGTGGTGTGGATGCACCATAATCAATGGAAGCACAATAAGAAGAGGTGGTGTGGATGGACCATAATCAATGGAAGCACAATAAGAAGAGGTGGTGTGGATGCACCATAATCAATGGAAGCACAATAAGAAGAGGTGGTGTGGATGGACCATAATCAATGGGATGATGGTGTGTGGGAGCATATGGCAGGACTCAGTAGTGCATCAGACTCAGTTTGGGAGTGGTCAGGCAGTAGAGGTCTTCACTGATATGGCTGAGAGGAGCCAGGCCACAGAGACCTATGCACATCTGTCCCTGCAGAGCCCAGGAGGGTTACCTACCCACTTTTGGGCTTCCATTCCCTGAATGTCATCAGCCTCCAGATGCACGCCCTAACAGTAAGCCTCTCCAAGGAAAGGAATTTCTTCCTTACTCCCACATCCTTCATCATCTCCCAGGGGATCATGCCAATTGGCCCAGCTAGGGTCACAAATTCATTCCACTCTGGTCAAGGAGTGTAGCTATGACCCGCATGGCATGTGAGCTACACTCCAGTGACCAGGGAGCTAGGATCACCTGAGAAGCCAACACTTCAAACCACAGACCCAGGGAAGAATAAGCAGTGTTTTTTGCTTTTGTTATTTATCTGGGTGTTTGTGTGTGGTGTATGCATGCCACGTGTGCTCCTGTGGGAGGGAGTGCATGCACCGGTGCAGGTGTCTCCCTTGTGTTCATTATCATCATCATGTGACACAGAATCGCTCTCATCATGGACACCAGGCTGGCCTCAGATTCAGTTTCACGTGGGCTGCCTTCTCAGCACTGGGGTTAAAGGTGTGCACCACCACACCTGGCTCCATCTTATTTTTTTTTGACAAAGCATCTCACTGAATATTGAGCTCAGCATTTCTTCTAGAGAGGCTAAGCAGTGAGCTACAGGTGCTAGGATTACAGGTGTGTGTCACTGTATCTGGTTTTCACATGGGTGCTGAGGATCAGGCTTGGTTGGGCAGGTCCTCAGACTTCAGCAGCAACCACTTAACCACTGAACACTCTCCCCAGACTCAGATCTGATTTTTACAAAGCTGTGTGTGAGGGTAGGAAGTGTGTATATGTCACATTTGTGAGTGCATGAAATGTGTATGTCATGTGTGTGAGTGTGTGAAGTGTGTATATGTCATGTCTGTGAGTGCATGTATACAACTGCCATAGCACTCATGTGGAGGTCAGAGGACAACTTGGATGTCAGTTTTAATCTTCCATCTTGTGTTAGGCAGGGGGTGAGCTTCTGGGGAATTCTCCTCTATCCACTGAGCTTGGAGACACTGGCTCTATGTCCATCTTTTCTTTAATGTGATTTCTAGGGATTTGAACTTAGGTTTTCACATGTGCACAACAAGGGCTTTACTCTCTGGGTCATATCCCTGAGCCCTGATCTGATTTTTAAAATTGTGTTTAAAGCACTTGAGGCCAGAAATGATGGCCAGTTCCTAAAAATAGAAGCCCTTAGAAGGTGGAGGCAGGAGGATCAAGAGTTCAAGGTCATCCTGGGCCACACAATCAGACCCTACTTCAAAACAAACAAAAAGTTAGAAGGAAATAGATTACCCCTCTTAGATACCCAGAATAAATATATTTTAATTACTTAATTAGTCTTATTTTTGTGTATATGTATGTGTCTGCCAGTAGGAAGAAGGCATCAGATTTCCTGGAGGTGGAATTGTAAGTTGACTGATGAGTTCCAAGAACTGAATCCAGGTTCTCTACAAGGGCAGCAATTTATGTTAACCACTGAGCATGTCTCAGCCCTTTAGAATAGCTCCAACAACACCATGCCCAACACAAGTACTTTCAGAAACTCCGTGTGTGTGTGTGTGTGTGTGTGTGTGTGTGTGTGTGTGTTTGCTTTTTTTATTTACGATAGGATTTTTTTTCTGAGACAGAGTTTCTCTGACTGACCTGGCTGTAGTCCAGGCTGGCCTTGAACTCAGAGATATCTGCCTGTCTCTTCCTCTGGAGTGCTGGGATTAAAGGCATTCCCCATCACCTTGAATCGAGGTAGTATTTTTAAACTTTTCGTGTTGAATTCTGTATAGTTGTGTATGTGTGTGTGTGTGTGTGTGTGTGTGTGTGTGTGTATGTATCCCATGTCTGTGACAAAGCACACTTGGAGATCAGAGGACAACTTGGGAAGTTTAATTTTTCCCTTCACCACAGAGTCTCAGAGATGGAGCACAGGTTTTCAGGCTTGGCAGCAAATGCTTTTATTCATTGAGCCTTCTGTCTGGTGCTACTTTTCATCTTGAGACAAGGTCTCAAGTAGTCCAGAATGGCTTTCAACTTACTGTGTATCCAAGAATGACTATGAATTTCTGATTCTCATGCCTCTCTTTACCTTCCTGGTGCTGGGATCACAGGCCTGAACCAGCAAGCAGTTTATGCTGTGTTGAAATGGAATTCAGCATCTCTCCTGAAGCAGGTCAACAATGTGCTAACTGAGCTGTCCCCAGACCTACAAGCTCCTTGAATGACTAAAATATGTACAAAGGTAAGTGCTCAAAAATGAGGGTAGGCTTGAAAAATTAGTTTTAATCAACTATATGTCACCTTGCTAAAATGCTTTTTTCTTGGCAATTACATACAGTGAATCTTTATTAGGATGAAATTTTTGTTAGTCTAATTTGAACTTCAGCCTTTTCTAATATCAGATCTTGAAAATTGAATAAGAAATAGTTAGGTATGGTGTTTCATGACCCAGAACTAAGAGGCAGATCCTGATCTCTGTGTGCAAAACCAGTGTGATCTAAAAAGCTGTTTCCCATGTTGCTCCTCACATAAACATGAAATAAACATGTACTTGTCTTTAGGAAAGTGTGACAGCTGATTTCATGTATTAATTTCCTGGACTAAGGGATGCCCAGATAGTCAGTAAATTGTCCTTTCTGGAGATGTTTGTGAAGGTGTTTCTACAAGGGAATAATGGTTAAACCCATAAACTTCATAAAGATTTTCTCTCACATTAAACACACACGCCCACCGGCAAGCATGCAAGCACACACACACACACACACACACACACACACACACACACACACACACACACGTGCGCGCGCGCACGCACACACAGTGTGCATGCAGTCACTCAGAAAAGTGTGTAAAGGTGAGAGAGGGCTTCTGACCCACCCACCAGGCAGAAATCTTAGGTTTTAGTGATGAAACAGCGGGGATAAATGGAGGGGAAAGGTCAATTATTCATATTTATTATGCAGAAACAGCGGCTATCAGTTGTTGGGCACTTAAGCTGGCCTGTCATTTACCCTCAAGTTCTTCTTTTACTATGTGCCAGTGCAGACACGCAGGGGTTGAAATCTGCACCTCAAACCAGAACCCAGTCATCTAACTAGACTCATTCAGGCCAAAGGAAGACATGGGCAAAAGAGGCAGATTATACTTTACACCTCAAGTTATCCATTTACACTTTATAAAGTGCTTGTCCCTTTCAAAGTAAGAGTCAAGGGAAAAGTCAGCAAATTAAATTCCAGTGCTCATTAGTTTTACTTTGTTTTGGTCCATGAGAAGATTAAAAAAGATTTTTTATGTGTATGGTGTTTTGCCTGCAAGCATGTCTGTGCATCACATGTGGGCAATGCCCATGGAGGTCAGAAGAGGGTGCCAGATCTCCAGCAACTGGAGTTAGAGCTGTGAGCAACTTTGTGAGTGTTGAAAACTAAATCTGTGTGGTGATATCTTGCTTGTACAAATAAAGCCTGCCTGAAGTACAGAGAGGATGGAGCTTGCCACTAGCTAATCATAGACGTTTGGAGTTCTGCACAGACAGACAGGAAGTGAGATAGCTGGGTGGAAGCAGGAAGTAAGATGGGTGGGCACAGACAGGAAGTGAGATGATTGGGAGAAGAGAAGAATTATGAGGGAACAAACAGGAACTCGCTTTCTTGTCTGCTGAGAAGCAAAGCTTGGTCCTTCTCTCTAGTGTTTTTTCTATATCTGACTCAGGGTTTTTATTATTTAGACCAGTTTAGAACTCCTTTTTACATTTTGGCGCTCAACATGGCCAGGACATTAACAGCAGGACAGGGGCAAATTGCCCCACATGGGCCCCTGAGAAAGCCAACAGCTCTTGTGGACTTGCTCAGTCAAGTAAGCTGCGCCTGAGTCCCCGCTCCTGCACTCCACTCGGTGCCATCGGCTTACACTATGTCTAGAACCTTTTTCTCTGTGTTCCGTGCCTTGACCCAGCCTTTATTTTGACTAAAGGGACACGTCCCACACCTCGATATTTCCAGGAGCCAGCATACCCGATCCAGTCCACACATCCTGATCCATGACTGGCAGTCAGTGCACTCAGGTTGGTCCTTTTTTCCCTTTCTCTTTAACAAAAATCCATTAGGTTTGGTCTTGTATGGGTGTTTGCTTAGAATCCAAAGTTTGGACAACAGTCGGACAAGTCAGACCAGAGCTTCAGCGTCATTGGACTTGCTCTGCAGCACACCTCTGACACCTGCTGGCCAAATATCATCATTGCAATTTAAGTAAGACCATAAGAGGCAAGGATGACCTTCTGAGGATTTGAGGTAAATTACTGGATATTTTTGCATTTTAAACTGGTAAATAAATTAATAAGTTCGTTAACTACTGCCACAACAATGGTGGATAATATCACCACCCAGGAATTTAAAACCCTTTTCGATTCTACTATGATGGAATTTTAAAAGAGATATACGACCTACCTGGGATGTATACACTCTTAACCATAATTGATATTAGCTTGGTAATCCATCATATCCTTAAGGAAATTGTTTGATAATAGAGCTAAGAATAAGGAACTTATAGTAATAATACAGAAGTTACAGATTGGTAATGAAAGCCTAGCAAAAAGGATTCATACAATTGAAATTGACAATCATAATTTGACAAACAGAATTCATGGTAATGAACTCTTAACAGAAAAAAATCATTCCATGTCTAAGAGTAATGACAAGCTTGCAGATAGAACATGGTTTTTGGGAGGCAATCTTCATGCCATCCAAATAATCTCCAAGGATAAGAATATTAAATCTCTGGATTCATGCAAATGATGAGAACAAGAAACTGACTGATTTAATGAAATCATTGGAAATTTTTGCTAATACAGAAAGTTCAAATGCTTAGAAAAACAATGGTGAATAAATTACAGGCCACAGAAAACCTTAAAACTGATATACCCAGGAGTTAAGGTGCAAACAAAAGAGAATAAAAAAGATTTAACATCACCAGAACCTTCCAGAATCAGAGGTGATTTACCAAAGCTCATATCACCATTATCACCTGCTATGGTCTATTTTGTTACTACTTCTCAAAAGCCAGCAAATATTGAACACCCAGTGTGGAAGGCCCCAAATAAGGATAGCATAATAGAAGCCATCTTAATATTCCTACTGTATTCTTAGAGACTAACACAGTTAAGTTTCTGTTTCTCAGTGCCTGCCTATCCTCCTGTACAGCACATTTTCAAGGCCTGCAGTCCAGGCTCTCGCAGCTGCAGACTTGTGTCCTTGGAACATACCCTGCCAAGGAAAACTTCTGCTCCCCCGCCCTTCTGCTACCTGCCTTACTTAAGCCCTGCTGGTACTTTCAATAAACGAGACTTGATCAGAATACTGTCTTGTCTCTGTCTCTTGCGTCTCTTGTCCCCCCATTCTCACTCCCTCCCCTAGTGTCCCCGTTGACTGACCCCGTGGGCTGAGGCAAGTGGCGCCCAACACGAGGCCCAGATAATAGGGCATCAGAGAAGAACGTCGCTGAGGAGGGCCGGCCATATCAAAAAGAAAAGAAATAGAGGTAGTTGCAAGATGGGAGCCTGCCACAGCAACAAAGTGAGCGACAATATGGGACAACATATGAGTCAACATGAATTGTTTGTTGAAGGCCTCAAGAAGGCACTTAAGGTTGGAGGGATTAGGCTTAAACACAGGATTTACAAAAACACCAACCACAATTTATGTTGGAGAGGTTGTGGTGAAAGGGGAACACGCCTCCACTGCTGGTGGGAGTGCCAACTTGTACAGCCACTTTGGAAATCAGTATGGAGATTCCTCAGAAAAATGGGAATAAACCTACCCCAAGACCCAGCAACTCCACTCTTAGGCATATACCCAAAAGGTGCCCATTCATACAACAAGGATGTCTGTTCCACTATGTTCATAGCAGCATTATTTGTAATACCCAGAACTTGGAAGCAACCTAGATGCCCCTCAACCGAAGAGTGGATAGAGAAAATGTGGTACATTTACACAATGGAGTACTACTATTCAGCAGAAAAAACCAATGGAATCCTGGAATTTACAGGCAAATGGATGGCACTAGAAGAAACCATCCTGAGTGGGGTAACCAGTCACAAAAAGAGAAACATGGTGTGTACTCACTCATATATGGATTTTAGATATGAATCAGGGGAGTGCCAGCACACAGTCCCACTGCCAGAGAGTCTGGGAAAGATAACTTTTGACTGATGGAAGCAGAGGCAGACACCCACAGCTAAACACTGAACTGAACTCCTGGAATCCAGTGTCAGAAAGAGAGAACTGATGAGCAAAGGAGCTAAGACTGGGCTGGTTTAACCCACAGAAACAGTTGACCTGAACAAGGGGGAGCTCTTGGACACCAGATTGATGGCTGTGTGGAAAGCATGGGACTGATCCAGACCCCCTGAATGTGGGTGTCAGTGAGGAGGCCTGGGTAATCTCTGGGGCATTGGGTAATATTTATCCCTGGCGTACAAATAGACTTTGAGTGCCCATGCCACGGTATGGAAGGCCCTCTCAGCTGGGACTCTTGGGGGAGGACCTAGGCCCTGCCCTGGATGAACTGACAGACTCTGGAGATCTACCATGGAGGGGCTCACTCTCCCTTGGGATTGGAGTGGAGATTGGATGGGAGACTAGGGGGCTTGGTAGGGAGAGTGAGCTGGGATTGACATGTGAAACGGGCTTGTTTCTAACTTAAATAAAAAAGGAAAAAAATTGGCCTAAAAAACCCCACAGGATTTATTAAAGTTTTTTGTCTTTATTAAGGAAGTTTGTCCATGGTTCCCCACTGAAGGGATCATAGATGGAAAAAGGTGGAAGAGAATAGGAGATGCTTTAAAGGATTACTATAAAACTTTTGGCCTTGAAAAGATCCCTATTACAGCATTTTAATTTTGGAATCTAATTAATAAAATTATTTCCCAGAAACAGCATGGCCCTTTTGTAGCAAATATAATAAAAGAAGGAGAGAAATGCTTAAAACCTACAGAAATAGAAAAAGTAGAACAGCCTATTGAGGAGCAGGACCTTATGTCATTTGATAGTGACTCAGAAGAGATTCAAAAGAGTAGCCCACAAACCCAGGATAAGATCGTTAAAAAGATACCCTAACCTAAATCACGACCTAAAAAGGATGAGGGAGCCAGACCCAAAGATATATCCCTCATTTAAAAATTATCCAAAAATCAACAGCCTATGGAAGATAGTCTTAGTGACTCAGAGTGGGAGGATTTGGAGGAAGAGGCAGCTAAATATCATGGTCCATTAGCAGAATACCGGCCTCCACCTTATATGCCTCCTCCAACAATCCCCTCAAAAAGAGCTACCGGACAAAATTCAATATCTTAAAGAGCAGATTCGATTAGAAACAGAACATCAAGACCTGATTGAGGGTTTGAAAACAGGCAAGTCCACCAACTCTTCTCAGAAAGGTGTTGCCAAGCTACCTCTCAGGGGGACTGCCTTTAAGACACCTTTTACCCACCAACATCAGACAGAATCAGAGAATATGACTGCTTTTCCAGTAACCGAGACAACAGATGCACAAGGCACTGCCTGGCGACATCAGGCAGGTTTTGATTTCAATGTAATCAAAGAAGTCAAAACTGCAGTCTCTCAATATGGGGCTACAGCTCCTTATACCACTGCCATCACAGAATCTATGGCAAACAATTGGCTTACTCCCTCCGACTGGTGCACTTTAACTAGAGCAACCTTGGCAGGGGGAGATTATCTTTTATGGAAGTCAGAATTTGCAGAAGCTTGTAAAGAAACTGCAAAAAGAAATGCCCAGGCAGGCAATAACTGGAATGCGGATATGTTAATGGGTGAAGGAAATTATGAGGCAGAGGATGTTCAAATGCAATATGAACCTCAACTATTTGCCAAATTCAAACAGCTGCCACTAAAGCCTGGAAGAGACTACCTGCTAAAGAGGACATGAGCTCTTCCCTTACTAAGATCAAACAAGGACCTGATGAGCCTTTTTCAGACTTTGTCCACCGCTTGCTAACAGCAGCAGGTAGGATTTTTGGAAATGCTGATTCAGGCACTGACTTTGTTAAACAATTGGCTTTTGAAAATGGTAATTCTGCCTGCCAAGCAGCTATTGGACCATATCGTAAAAAAACAGACCTTTCTGGCTACATTCACCTCTGTGCTGACATAGGTGCGGCTTATCAGCAAGGACTCCCCATGGCAGCTGCTATGCAAAGCACTACTGTTAGACAGTTCTTGTCTAATCAAGGCAGAAACAAATGCTTTAGCTTTGGTAAGTCAGGTCATTTTTCAAAAAACTGCCCACAAAACTCAAAGATTGCTTTTTTACTATACCCTTACATCCAGATGATCAAAAACGCTTCGCCTTTAGTCTTCCTTCTCCAAATTTTCAAGCACCTATGCACCGGTATCAATGGTATCAATGGCATGTTCTCCCCCAAGGCATGGCTAATAGTCCCACACTTTGCCAATCTTTTGTACCATCTGCTATCTAAGCAGTTAGGGACTCATGGCCACAGATGTATATTATTCACTATATGGATGATATTCTTTTAGCAGGACAAAAAGGGGAAGAAGTGTTATTTTGTTACAAAGAGTTTTGTGATGCTCTAACAAATAGGGGATTGCAGATAGCACCAGAAAAAGTACAACTCAAAGATACCTATACTTATTTAGGCTTTCAAATGTTTGAAGATAAAATTTTATCTCAAAAAATTACTTTGAGATTAGATAGGCTTCATACCCTTAATGATTTTTCAAAAATTGTTGGGAGATATTAATTGGTTACTACCTTATTTAAAAATTAGCAAAGATGAATTAAAACCCCTTGATGACATTCTCCCTGGTAATTCAGATCCCATCTCACATTGTCAACTTTCACCTGAAGGCCACAAAACAATAACTTTGGTAGAACAAGCCATACAACCTCAAACAGTTACTTTTCTTGATTACAATTGCCCCTTGTGGCTTATTATTTGCAAAACAGCTCAGCCTCCAACTGCAGTTTTTTAGCAAACTGCTCGCATATTATGGGCCCATTAACCAGTCAGCCCAAAAAGTGTGCTAAATCCCTATTTTCAATTGGTCTCAGATATTATTCATGTAGGTAGAAAGCAGGGCAAGTCTTATTTTGGCCATGAGCCAAACCTTATTATTCAACCTTGTACCAAGGAACAGGTTGATTGGCTTATGCAAACAATAGAAAGCCGGCCCATAACCTTGGCCAATTACATGGGAGACATAGATAACCACTATCCCCCTAAAAAGCTAATTGATTTTGCCAATCATCAAGAATTTATTTTTCCAAAAAAATACTCTCCTAGATCTTATACCAGGTGCATTAACTGTGTTTACTGATGGCTCCTCCACGGGGATAGCTGCTTATGCTTGGAATGATGAGGTTACTAGTTTTCAAACTGGGGCCTCATCTGCCCAACTAACAGAATTATATGCTGTTATAGCTGCCTTTACTGCCTTTCCAAATCAATCACTTAACATTTATACTGTGTTGCTCATTCAGTACCACTTTTTTTTTGGTTTTTCGAGACAGGGTTTCTCTGTGGCTTTGGAGGCTGTCCTGGAACTCACTTGGTAGTCCAGGCTGGTCTCGAACTTACAGAGATCCGCCTGCCTCTGCCTCCCGAGTGCTGGGATTAAAGGCGTGCGCCACCAACGCCCGGCTTCAGCACCACTTTTAGAGACTATAGGTCAGATTAAGAATATCTCTGAGACTGGTAATTTATTTAGACAACTAACTTCTCTCATAAGAGTCAGAAAGTTTCCTTTCTTTATGGGGCACCTTCGTGCTCATTCGGGTCTCCCTGGACCCTTATCCAGAGACAATCATTTGGCAGCCAAGCAATCCGTTGTCATCTGGGGCTGCCTGTTGATTCTGTCCAGGACACAGGCATTGAAGCAGCACGTAAAGGACATTCATTACATCACCTTAATGCTCATACGTTATGCCTCATGTATCATATTACCAGAGAACAAGCTAGACATATAGTAAAAAACTTTTCAGAATGCATCCAATATTTACCTGTACCCCATTTGGGAGTTACTCCTCTGGGACTTGTGCCCAATGCTCTCTGGAAAATGGATGTTACCCATCTTACAGAATTTGGACATCTTAAATACATTCATGTTAATATAGATACATATAGTGGTTTTGTCTTTGCCTCTCTTCAAACCGGAGAAAGCACTAAACATGTAATCAGCCATTTGTTAGCTTCATTTTCTGTCATGGGCACTCCTCAACAAATCAAGACTGATAATGGACCCGGATA